TTCCTCAGCCTTTCAAGTAGCTAGGACCACAGGCATGCACCATTATGCCAGGTTAATTGTTTTATTTTTACTTTTTGTAGAGATGAGGGTCTCACTACGTTGCCCAGGCTGGTTTCAAATTCCTGGCCTCAAGCAATCCTCCTGCCTTGGCCTCCCAAAGGGCTTTAATTATAGGCGTGAGCCACAGTGCCCAGCCTTTTCCTTTTTTTTTTTTTTTTGAGACAGTGTTTCACTCTGTAGCCTAGGCTGGACTGCAATGGCACGATCTGGGCTTACTGCAACCTCCACCTCCCGGGTTCAAGCAATTCTCCTGCCTCAGCCTCCCAAGTAGCTGGGACTACAGGCACATGCCGCCACGCTTGGCTAATTTTGTTGTTGTTGTTGTTGTTGTATTTTAGTAGAGATGGGGTTTCACCGTGTTGCCCAGGCTGGTCTTGAACTCCTGAGCTCAGGCAATCCTTCTGCCTCGGCCTCCCGAAGTGCTGGGATTACAGGCATGAGCCACCATGCCTGGCACCTTTTCCTCTTCCTAAAAAAGCTTCCAGTTCCACTCCTATGATAACCTGTTAATCTATTAACCCACTAATCCATGAATGAATTAATCTATTCATGAGGGCAGGGCTCTCATGACCCAATTATCTCTTGAGGGCTCTACCTCTCAATACTGCCACATTGGGGATTAAGTTTCAACATGAGTTTTGGAGGGGACATCCAAACCAAAGAACCTATAGTCTTTGCTTCTTTATTAAGGAACTGTTGCCATGTCAATAAATTTAGCTTTGAGGTTAGAACAAGCAAGTAGCTCCCTGTGGAGGAAACCATAAGAAAACTTTCCTCCATTTCCTCTTTGATTATGAGTGAACTAGGCTTAAGATCAGTCCCTGGGCAGGGCGCAGTGGTTCACATCTGTAGTCCCAGCTACTCGGGAGGCTGAGACAAGAGGATCACTTCAGCCCAGGAGTTTGAGCCTGCAGTGAGCTATGATCGCGCCACTGCACTCCAGCCCCAGCAACAGTGAGACCCTGTCTCTAAAAAATAATAATAAATGAAAAGATCAGCAGTTGGAGTTTCTTTTTAATCCAGTTATTCTGTCAACATGCCAGTTCTGAAGGGTCACTTTGAGGAAGTGCTGAGTCACCTATGTTTCCTCAGAAGGCAGCCTAGTAATGAAAAAAAAAAAGTGACGAAACCCAAGAGTTTTAGCCTTAAATAATTACCTGAGAAAATGAGTCTAACTCATAAAAAGAGACAGGAAATGCAGTTAACATTCACAAAGCAAAAATAAGTTGTTGAAAAGTAGGTAAATTAAAAAGTCATACAAGGTTAGCAAAATTAACTTTATTATATATTTTTTTGAGACAGGGTCTTGCTCTGTTGCCCTGGCTGGAGTACAGTGGCATGATCTTGGCTCACTGCAACTTCCGCCTCCTGGGCTTAAGCGATCCTCTCACTTCAGCCTCCAGAAACTTTAAAACAAGTTCACAAATACTGATTAGTCTAAACTCACCCTCTCCATTTCTGCCTAATTATTCCCAATAAGGTATTACTAACAATCAAGATATTAGTAGCTGTGGCGGCCGGGTCCAGTGGCTCACGCCTGTGATCCCAGCACTGCGGGAGGCCAAGGCAGGCGGATCACCGGAGGTTGGGAGTTTGAGACCAGCCTGACTAACATAGTGAAACCCCGTCTCTACTAAAAGTACAAAATTAGCTGGGTGTCGTGGCGCGCGCCTGTAATCCCAGCTACTTGGGAGGCTGAGGCAGGAGAAACGCTTGAACCTGGGAGGCAGAGTTTGCGGTGAGCCAAGATCGCACCATTGCACTCTAGCCTGGACAAGAGCGAAACTCCATCTCAAAAAAAAAAAAAGGCATTGGTAGTTGTCATGGCTCCTTAAATAGTGTAAAAGTATGACCTTGAAATCTTAGACTTGTCATTTACATATTTAAACTCCATTATTCTTTTTTTAAGACAGGGTCTTGCTCTGTGGTCTAGGCTAGAGTGCAGTGGCTTGATCACAGCTCACTGCAGCCTTTGACCTCCTGGGTTCAAGCAATCCTCCCACCTCAGCCTCCAGAGTAGCTGGGTCCACAGGTGCACACCACCATGCCTAGCTAAATTTTTTTATTTTTGGTGGTGAGGTCTCCCTATGTTGCCCAGGCTGGAATGCTGTTTTTCTTTTTCTTTTTTTTTTTTTTTTGAGACAGTCTTGCTCTGTTGCCTAGGCTGGAGTGCAGTGGTGCGATCTCAGCTCACTGCAACCTCTGCTTCCTGGTTTCAAACGATTCTCATGTCTCAGCCTCTGGAGTAGCTGGGATTACAGGTGTGCACCACTATGCCCAACTAATTTATATATTTTTAGTAGAGACAGGGTTTCACCATGTTGGCCAGGCTGGTCTTGAACTCCTGGCCTCAAGTGATCTGCCTGCCTTGGCCTCCCAAAGTGCTGGGATTACAGGTGTGAGTCACCGCATCTGGCGGATCCTGTTTTCTTGACTATATTTCATGTTTATATAGATCAGATAGGTTCGTGTGTGTGAAACACCCCTGCACAGTGCAGGCACAATGTGTTTAACAAATGGTAACTCTTACTAAAAAGGCAGCCCTGACCTTCACACAGACAGATGTTGATATTTTAGGGCAAAGAAACAGTGGTATCAAACAGTGGCTACCAACTCCAGCCCATGGATAACGGATAAAAGCTTTTACCAATCAGCCTTTAAAATAAGAAAAATATGAACAAAACAATGAATTTTTCATAAAATTAACACTTTTCATAAGCTTATTCAAAATAATGGCTATTTTTATCCACTATTCCCATGCTCTTTTGGTATCAAACTGTCTTCTATGAAATACTGGTAATAAATTGTAGCTTTTTGATATACTCCTGCTTGGAAAAATCAAAAGTTGGCAATTACATACTAGCCACCCCAATCCTGCTTTTAAAACGTTGCTAGTATGAAAACTACGACTGGGAACCAGTTTTCTAGAGAGCGAGACTTGTTAGAAATGAGAAAGGCCTTAGGAGACCCGTAGCTCTCTGGAAAACGGGCTTAAATAAATTGGAATCATCCTGGGGACACTCCAAAATTATCCATACTCAACCTCCTAAAAGTATTGAATTAGAAAACTGCTGTGCTACAGAAAAAAATGAGGGATAAACCAAGAAGGAAGAGGATAGGGAATCTAGAAACAAGGTATCCAACACAGGAGGGTGGCAACAGCAAGTCCCTAGGACTGCAGTGTGCACCAGGTCTAGGCAACAGCTAGGCAAGACAGGTGTATGGGGAGAAGGTAAACTGGTCACTCCAGGAAGACACCACCTGTATATGAAAAGGGATGCAATCACAGTGCATTAACCTGTGCAGTGAGCAACAGTGCATGCTCATTCTCCCAGGCAGTGTCCCAGCAAGCCAGACAGCACTCTTGAGAGGGAGCAGTAGCCCAGAACCAGTAACAGAAATACCACCATCCCTGGGCCCAAAAGGGCAGGAGGAAGGACAGGTTAGGAAAAAGAAAGGAGTCAGGTGGAGTTGGCTGCCTCGAGTGTTCCTCGAGGTGCACTGTCTTCTGGCTGAGGAACAGCTGGCTTGAAGTGACCTTGCAGAGAGGGCCAAGGGAATAAACACTCTGCCTTCATTCTCCTCCCTCCCTCTATCTCCTGCTATGGATCCCTATTGACCAAACCCAGCAGAACCCAGAGGCATGGTAAGCCTGTTGATGTCTATACAGCTTCCTTGGGCTGAAAAGCAGGATGAGGGGAGCAGAGACTTGGAGGGGCAAATGAAAGACACCTGGCACACTCATGCTATGCACACTGATGACGTAAGCAAAATGTATAAAAGCACACTGGGAGCATGTGTGGGAGAAGCAGAGACAGTGTAAGATAGCTGTATCTCAACCATGACAGAAAACAATGTCTAAAGTTGATGGCTCAAAAAATAACAGTATAGCCAGGCAGTGGCTCATGCCTGTAATCCCAGCACTTTGGGAGGCTGAGGCAAGAGGATCACTTTGAGGCCAGGAGTTGGAGACTAGCTTGGGCAACAGGGCAAGACCCCATCTCTACAGAAAACACAAAAATTAGCCAGACATCGTGGCACACACCTTAGTTCTAGCAACTCAGGAGGCTGAGGTGGGAGGATTTTGAGCCCAGGAGTTGGAGGCTGTAGTGAGCTATGATCATGCCACTGCACTCCAGCCAGCCTGGGTGAGAGACCCCATCTCAAAAAATGAAATGTTTATATGTATTATTTATAAAGATGGAGATAAACTTTAAAAATCCACAGCTCAATAGGTAAAACCTCTGGGGAGCAAAGAAGTAGGGACAATTAGAAATGTTGTAATACTAATTTTAAAAAAAATGATGTCTGGGGCCGGGCGCGGTGGCTCACACCTGTAATCCCAGCAGTCTGGGAGGCCAAGGTGGGCGGATCACAAGGTCAGGAGATCAAGACCATCCTGGCTAACACGCTGACACCCCATCTCTACTAAAAATACAAAAAATGAGCTGGGCGTGGTGGCGGGCGCCTGTAGTCCCAGCTGCTCAGGAGGCTGAGGCAGGAGAATGGTGTGATGTGAACCCAACAGGCGGGGCTTGCAGTGAGCTGAGATCGCGCCACTGTACTCCAGCCTGGACAACAGAGCGAGATTCCAGCTCAAAAAAAAAAAAAAAATGATGTGTGGGCCAGGTGCAGTAGCTCATGCCTGTAATCCCAGCACTTTGGGAGGCCCAAGTAGAGGATCACTTGAGCCCAGGAGTTCGAGATCAGTCCAGGCAATATGACAAAACCCTGTCTCTACAAAAGAATACAAAAAACATTAGCTGGGTGTGGTGGTGTGCTGCTGTAGTCCCAGCTACTTGAGAGGCTAAGGTGAGAGGATCACTTCAGGACCAGAGGTCGAGGCTGTAGGGAGCTGTGATCATGCTGTCGCAGTCCAGCTTGAGTGACAGAGAGAGATCCTGTCTCAAAAATAAATAAATAAATAAAAATGATGTGTGTATTTAGGAATAAATTAATTTTCAAAAAGTTGTTAGAAGGTTACACACAAAACAAACTGGGGCAGACTCTGGACGCACTGCCTATGAGTTAGCCTTGCACCACAAGGAGAAACAGTGTTCAGGAAAAGGCTGCTGTCTAACAAAAACAAACCATACGACGAAAAAAAACAATTGATTACCTCTGTGGAGCTGGAATAAGGGAATGAGAGTTGAGAAAAAACATTCGCTTTTCATTTTGGATGCTCTTGCATTGTTTTACTATACATACCCGTTATTTTTATAATACCATTTATACCTTAAAAAAGTGTATTTGCTAATGAGAATTTATCTTATCCCTCAGGTGGCTTTGGACATAAAAGCTAAGACTTGCTGATTTATATGATTTATATCAAATAAAGTCCAAGGTAAGTCAGTGACTTGACCAGACACAGAACTTAACAGAGCCTGAGTTAGGACCCGGACTCCACTGGGGACCCAAGGGCAGGAGTCCCTTTTAATCTTTCCCAGCTTCAGAGGGAACAAAAAATATAGATAAGGATGCATCTCATCCTCTTTGAATATTTACAGGTCCCTACACTGAGTTTTCAAAGCCCAAGATAAAAATCACATAGTGCCCAGGTCCAGACCCAGGCCCAGCCAGCCATATGAGTGAGCACAGAACAGCACAGAACTGCCCAGTCGAGTCACTGCTGCTGAAAACCACTGAATTTTGGAGTGTCTTCTTAGGCAACAATGGTAACTGTTGTCCCACCACCACACAGATCCCATCACAACATCCAAATTCTGCCTTCCGACATAGTGAAAAATTTCCCTTTTGAATATTTAAATAGACTTTAAAAGAAAAAGAACTACCAGTTAAACTGAATGTTTAATACATTTGTAGGAACAGAAGAAATGCAGTAAGGATTAACATTTTATAATTACATTAGACATTTATGTAAAAGATGTTTCATTTTTCAAAGAAGTTTCCCCTTTTTCCCTATCTTTTTTTATCTTCCTTAGAGCAATAAATAGTAATTACTACATTTGTGGAGAAGCTGCTCCACTGTGTTGGACAGTAATTATTATATCTTTATGTTTCACATCATTATTACCTCCCAAGATTCTACTTGCATTTCCCTGCAGTTTCACCGGACTGTTTCACAATAAAATTGTACTCCACTCAAATTAGAAGAGCCCAAAGAAAGTAGAGCAAACAGCAGTCAAATTCCTATGAATTAGATAGAGAACCAAGTATTTTAAAGTGCTGATTTAGTAACATAATGTCTACTGGCACAAACCTTCTATTTAATCATATTATTCAAACAGCAATAACAAATGAAAGCTACATTAATGAAAAAGGAACTTAGGAATGAGGTCATTAAATATAACTAACTACACTTTAAATACAGATATCATGTATTTCCTGATTATTATCAGGTAAATATCTAGACTCCTATCCTGAATTCCGGTCTCAGATAAAAAGGTCAGAGACAGTTACAAGGAAGATGTTTCATATTATCAGGTCCATTTTTTAACTGATGAGGTCCTTTAGGAAAACTGCTTTAGTCTTTCTTTTTATCAGAGATTTCTGTTGGTCCTTTTGTTGGTAATCCATTCATGTCTGCACCCTAAAACGAAAAAGCATTTTAGAAATCATTATAACAAGCCGGGTGTGGTGGTTTATGCCAGTAATCCCAGCACTTTGGAAGGCTGAGGCAGACGGATCACCAAGTCAGGAGATCGAGACCATCCTGGCCAACATGGTGAAACCCGTCTCTACTAAAAATACAAAAATTAGCTGAGTGTGGTGGCACGTGCCTGTAATCCCAGCTACTCAGGAGGCTGAGGCAGGATAATCACTTGAACCTGGGAGGTAGAGGTTGTGGTGAGCCGAGATTGTGCCACTGCACTCTAGCCTGGTGACAGAGCGAGACTCCATCTCAAAAACAAAACAAAACAAAACAAAACAAAAAAAGAAATTATTACAACAAAAAGATACTAAGAGACATTCTCTCTCTTTTTTTTTTTTTTTTGAGATGGAGTTTCATTCCTGTCACCCAGCCTAGAGTGCAGTGATGTGATCTCAGCTCACTGCAACCTCCGCTGCCCAGGTTCAAGCGATTCTCCCGCCTAGCCTCCTGAGTAGCTGAGATTACAGGCGCCCACCACCGCGCCTCACTAATTTTGGTATTTTTAGTACAAATGGGATTTCACCATGTTGGCCAGGCTGGTCTTGAACTCCTGACCTCAGGTGATCAACCCATCTTGACCTCCCAAAGTGCTGGGATTACAGGTGTGAGCTACTGCGCCAGGCTGAAGAAACATTGTCTTTAAAGACAGACAACAAGCTCCAGAGTGAAAATATTTTGTTTCCAGAAATGGGCAGGGTGGCTAAATCAGTGCAGCTGAGTACAAAGTTGAATCTAAAAAAGCACCAATTCTAAAGACAACAGAGTTGTCCACTCATTTAAAAAAAAATTTTTTTAAATCTCCATGATCCTTCTAATTAAATCTCTTACCAAAGTTATCAATCAGTGAAACTGGATTGTATTAGTATAATCTCTCCTCATCCATTAGCTATTTACTATCACACTTATCAGTCAGGAAATACTGGTTATCATTTTGGCCAAAGGACAAATGCATTAATCAGAGGCCTACTTTAAAACTTTAATTTAAGCCAAATGTTAGACAAACTATTGAAGCTTCTGGTTCTAAAACTTCTCTTTCCAAAATCTAAGTGTTTCACCCAAGTACCACCCCTGTTCACTGCTCATAATTCAAGACATGTGAATGTTCTTACCTTACAGTCCACTTTGCCTTTGTTTGGATCGTTGGACTCTTGTATTGCTTTCTTAGGCCATATACGGCCAACAAAGGGGGAAATCAGAGGGTATATGTATGGCTCCAGGAATTTTTTGTAGATCCAGAGCAGAACTGGAATGACGATACAAGGAATGCACACCATTTTCCCGAGCTTGAGCTCTTCAACTGTTGATATATATGAAGAAAAAAATCAGTTCATCACAGATTAGTAACTGAAGAAATTTACCAAAATTAAGATATCTGAAAGGGGACAGATGTGGTGGCTCACGCCTGTAATCCCAGCACTTTGGGAGGCAAGAGGATAGCTTGAGCCCAGGAGTTCGAAACCAACTTGCACAACAGAGTGAGATCCTGCCTCTACAAGATCAAAAAATTAGCTGGGCATGGTGGCGTACTCCTATGGTCCCAGCTACATAAGTGCTAAATAAAAAGCTGCTATCTACAAGGTAAAGAAATAGGCCAGGTGCAGTGGCTCATGCCTGTAATCCCAGCACTTTGGGAGGCTGAGGCGGGCGGATCATGGGGTCAGGAGTTTGAGACTAGCCTGGCCAACATGGTGAAACCCTGTCTCTACTAACAATACAAAAATCAACTGGGCATAGTGGCGTGCGCCTGTAATCCCAGCTACACAAGAGGCTGAGGCAAGAGAGTTGCTTGAACCTGGGAGGCAGAAGCTGCAGTGAGCCGAGATCCCAACACTACACTCCAGCCTGGGTGACAGAGCAAGACTCCATCTCAAAATAAATAATAGGTGGTAGGCATGGAAATAATAATGAGGTGCCTGCCTCCAAACTTCCAATCGCTGCTCCCTAATTATGAATTTGATGATACAGGAAAGACAACAACGTTTAGTAGGTGCTAGGCAGTTTACATATATCAACTCATTTAATCCTCAAAATAATCAGTGAGGTTGGGTGCCTTTGCTACTATCTCTATTTAGTGTTTTAAAAATGGGTCGGGCATGGCAGCTCACTCCTGTAATCCCAGCACTTTGGGAGGCTGAGGTGGCCAGATCACCTGAGGTCGGGAGTTTGAAACCAGCCTAACTAACATGGTAAAACCCCGTCTCTACTAAAAATACAAAATTAGCCAGGTGTGGCGGTGCATGCCTGTAATCCCAGCTACTCAGGACGCTGAGGCAGGAGAATCATTTGAACCCGGGAGGCAGAGGTTGCAGTGAGCCGAGATTGTGCCATCGCACTCCAGCCTGGGCAACAAGAATGAAACTCTATCTCAAAAAAAAAAAAAAGAAACAAAAACATTAAATTCAGTATTATGACTTATATTCCATTTCAGTGTGGAGTGGACATTGCGTGAATTAACTCCCAAGTCCTAATCTTCGGGGACTGACAATATCAATTAGCCAAACCTACAACGCTAATGGTAAATCTTGCAATACGAAACTTAACAAGACATTACTTTGCAAGACCTCTAGGCTGCAAATCAGCTGGCCTTTCCCAGGCAACAACTCTCCTTTGATATATTTTGCTTTTATTTTTAAGAACATAATTTAAGGTGTATCAAGTAATAAAAAAAAAATTTTACTGACTGAGTGCGGTGGCTCATGCCTGTAGTCCCAGCAGTTTGGGAGGCTGAGGTGAGCAGATCATGACGTCAGGAGTTCAAGACCAGCCTGACTAACATAGTGAAACCCTGTCTCTACTAAACATACAAAATTTAGCGGGGCGTGGTGGCGGGCACCTGTAGTCCCAGCTACTTGGGGGGCTGAGGCAGGAGAATCACTTGAACCCAGGAGTTGGAGGATGCAATGAGCCGAGATCGGGCCACTGCACTCCAGCCTGGGCGACAAAGCGAGACTCCGTCTCAAACAAAACAAAACAAAACAAATTTATTTAGTATTATCGTATGTTCTAAGTAAATTATCTATTTCCAAAAAACACCCATGCTGACCTTGTTGGTACATGGCTGTAATCCTAGCTACTTGAAAGATGAAGGTGGGAAGATTGCTTCTTTGTTGTTGTTGTTTTTTAAGAGCCTTCTCACTCTGTTGCCCAGGCTGGACTGCAGTGGCACCACTGTGGCTTACTGCAGCCTGGGCTCAAGTGATCCTCCCACCTCAGCCTCCGCTCAAGTGATCCTCCCACCTCAGCCTCCCGAGTTTGTTGATTTTAAGAAGTTCCAACATAATTTCTAATCATCAAGGAAATTAATGGTGTTAATTTGTTTTGAGACAAGGTCTTGCACTGTCACCCAGGCTGGAATGCAGTAGCACAATCATCACTGCAACCCTGAACTTCTGAGCCTAAGTAGTTAGCCACAATGCCTGGCTAATTTTAGAAAATTCTTTTAGAGATGGGGTCTTACTGTGTCACCAAGGCTGGTCTCAAACTCCTGGCCTCAAGTGATCCTCCTGCCTCAGTGTTCTGGGTTGCTCAGATTACAGGTGTAAGCCACCATGCCAGGCTCAGGAGGATCACTTGAACCCAGAAGTTCAAGGCTGCAGAGAGCTACAATCATGCCACTGCACTCCAGCCTGGGCAACAGTGCAAGACTTTGTCTCAAAACTAACAAACACCATGTATTTCCTAAATGATTAGAAATCGTGTGGGAACTTCTCAAAATCAGCAATTTCTTGAAGAAGAACCAATACTTGTTCCATAATATATTATTACACCAAATGACCTCTTAAATTTACAAGACTTTTTAATCTCCTAGAATAGGATAGAGGGTCTTAAAAAGAAAGAAAGAAGCTTTCGAACAGTGCATAAGGCTGATAATTTACCATGTTAAGATTTCTTATTTTCAGGCCGGGAGTGGTGGCTGACGTCTGTAATCCCAGCACTTTGGGAAGCCAAAGCAGGTGGATCACTTGAGGTCAGGAGTTCGAGACCAGACTGGCCAACAATGGTGAAATCCCGTCTTTACTAAAAATACAAAAATTAGCCGGGCGAGGTGGTGGGTGCCTGTAATCCCAGATACTCGGGAGGCCTAGTCACCTAGTATTGCTTGAAACCAGGAGATGGAGGTTGCAGTAAGCCAAGATCGCGCCACTGCACTCCAGCCTGAGTGACAGAGCAAAACTCCGTCTCAAAAAAAAGAAAGAAAGATTTTCAAAATATTGCAAATTACATAGCATCTGCTGGCAAATGAGTCAGCACCATCACTATGCTACGGCATTTTAAAATTATTCACAACACAGGTAAACAGTGGTATAGATAATCCAATCTGAATGTGTCTTTGAAATGAATTACAAGCAAGAGCTATAAACAAGAATGTAAATTGAGGTTGGGTGCAGTGGCTCACGCCTGTAATCCCAGCACCTCGGAAGGCTGAGGCGGGCAGATCACCTGAGGTCAGGAGTTCGAAACCAGCCTGGCCAACATGACGAAACCCCGTCTCTACTAAAAATACAAAAATTAGCCAGGTGTGATGGTGGGCGCCTGCAATCCCAGCTACTGGGGAGGCTGAGGCAGAATTGCTTAAACCTGGGAGGCGGAGGTTGCAGTCAGCTGAGATCGTGCCATTGCACTTCAGCCTGTGTGAGAAGAGCAAAACTCTGTCTCAGAAAAAAAAAAGGCAATTGATTTTTATTTTTTTGAGACAGGGTCTTGCTCTGTTGCTCAGGCTAAAGCGCAGTGGCTCAAACATACCACTTGTGTTCAGAGTTCACTGCAGCCTTGACTTCTCGGACTCAAGCCATCCCCCTTCCTCGGCCTCCTGAGTAGGTAGGACCACAGGCCCCCGCCACTATGCCCGACTAATTTTTTAATTTTTAGTAGAGATGAGGTCTCACTGTGTTGCATTATGCTGATCTTCAAGTCCTGAGCTCAAGTGATCCTCCCACTTAGGCCTCCCAAAGTGCTGGGATTACCGGATCCCAGCCTAATTTTTTTTTTTTTTAATAATTAGCCAGGAGTGGTGGTACGCGCCTGCAGTCCCAGCTACTTGTGGAGCTGAGGAAGGAGAACCGCTTGTGCCCGGGAAAGAAGCAGCTGCCGTGAGCTATGATGGCCCACTGCATTCCAGCCTGGGCCACAGAGGCAGACCCTGTCTCAAGATTGAAAAAAAAAGTTGTAACCTGTCCAGAGTTCTCACAGAGGGTAACTGGTAACTAGAGCTGGCTGAGATCATTATTTCCAGTTCTGGTTTTCCTCAATGCTCTTGCCTTTTCCTCTTCCAAAAACACAATGGTCTTGTTTTTACCAAACTTTCCAAACCAACTAAACCCCTTCAAAACAACTGGTAATGTTACCAGTAATGGTTTAGTGACCGACAGGCCCTCCATCAAAAAGATTCATTTTTACTTCTGCAATTGTGTTTTAAGTAAGTTCGCACACAGTATGGTGTACATAAACTCTCGAGAACAAATACTACTAATCACTTATTCCACAATTATGGCTTTTAAGAGACTTTTTAGCTCTCTTCAGAATGAAGCCTACTTGTATCTTATCTTTTAATCTTCATAATTCTTCGGTACGTTATTTTACTTCACACATGTGGAAACTGGGTCAGAAAAGTCTAGAAGGTGGCTAGGAGATATTATTATTTTAATTATTCGCTCCAAGCCAACGAAGCGAGCAAAATGGATTAAAACTGTTGCACAGGAATCTTCTTTCACTCGACTTCAAGTTCAGACAATAGAGCAGACAGTTAAAGTCTGAGGCTCCATCCGAAATAGGTCAGGCAACACAGGGAAAGCCACCTTCCTCCAAATCATCCAGTAGAGCATGTAATCTTAGTGGAGACAGAGGGAGCGGGGACAGGTTGAGTCAATGACAATGACTGAAAAGAGAGAATAGAGGCCTAATGGTGAAGGTAACAGAAGGGATGTGAAACCGATACTTGGCCACGGAAAAGAACAAAATCAGTATAAACTATCGGAGAGGCAAATCCAAGCCCCGAGGGCGCCGGTGGTGGACAAGGAACACACAGGGGAGGGGAGGACGGAGGAGCGCGCGTGCGGAAGGAAGGTACCCTGAGAGAGAAGGCGGGCACCGCGGAGGCCGGCGGGCCGCGACCGCCGAGGAGGGAGGAGGCAGGAGGCCGCGCACCGGCTAGGACTCTGCGAGCGCGGCCCGGGCTGGGCCTGCGGAGCAGCTACAAAGCCCAACCCAGGCCGCTAGCCGGGACACACTCACCCGCGACCGCGGAAACGCAGCTGACAATGTCCGCACTTCCGGAGGGAGGGACGAGCCGCAGCCGAGCCAATGGGCGCCCTCAAGGGGGACGACAAAGGCGCGCCTGCGTCAGCTCCGGGGCGCACGGCACGCAGCAGTGTTGCCCATGGGGATGCGGCGGGACTTCCGGCTCTGCGTCCTGCAGGTAACGCGCAAGTCCTGCATCTCCCAGGTGCCCAACTGAAAGCTCCGCTCCGGGAAGAAAGCCTGACCTGACTACTCCGTGACCCAGAACGCAGGATTGAAATTCAGAACGCTACCTCGGTAAAGGATGACGCCCGTGCAAATGGCGCGGCACCCACAGGGAAGGTGGCAGCTAAGCCGCTCAGAGGCAACTGAATAAGCTATTAGTTTTGCTCGCTTTTTAAATTCAAGGGCAGAGCAAACGAACATTAACTAAGGCCAACTTTACAAACATCAGTTGCTTAAAAGCAGTTATATCACTTTATAAACGGAAGTACTGACACTCACTAGGTCAGTACGTGTTGGCGATGATGCGTGGAAACTGGGACCCTCATAAACCGCTGGTGGAAATGTAACGTGCAGCCTTTTTGTAAATATTTGCAAGTTCCTCAGATGTTTAGTCAGGTAACCTTATTATCAATTCTACTCTAGTATATACTCGGGAAATGAAAACACAAAAATCTGCACACAAAGGTTCACAGTAGCATTGTTTTAACAGCGAAAACAAAACCCTGAGTATCAACCTAAAAAACTTAAAAACCTGAGCCTGAGTGCTGTCATGACACTCAAAGGCAATGCTCAATGGAGCCATTTCCAACTGGGGATGACCAACTGGTATATTCACACACTGGATTATTCTATAAAGAAAACCATTGCAAATTCCTTTTGGGATAATGAAACATTTTTTTTGAGACAGGGTCTTGTTCTGTCTTACCCATGTTGGATTGCAGCAGTGCTCACTGCAGCCTCCCACCTCAGCCCCCCAGTTAGCTGGGACTACATGGAAGCGACACCACATTTAATTTTTGTATTATTTTTAAAGACAGGGTTCTTGTCATGTTGCCCTGGCTGGGCTTGAACTCCTGGGCTCAAGCAGCCAGCCTCCACCTCCCAAAGTGCTGGGATTATAGAAATGAGCCACTGTGCCCAACCATGAAAATGGTTTTTAATGGTGCAGGGTAAGCAATCTGTGTTTGTAATTCCAATCCTAAAAATTCTCATTTGATTCATTTTCTAAGGACACCCACGTTCACTAATAAAGACAACCAACATTCTTTTCCTTTTAATTACATTTATTTTAATGCTGAATTTACTCCCGTGCCATAAGTTTTTGTTTCTTCAGTTTCTTCTGGGATATCTGGGGAAAGAAAAATAGAGTGTTAAGTTTCTTAGAGAAACCCACAGTACATCTTGGAGGACTTCAGCTTATTCTGGAGGCAGGAAACGCAGTTGTTAAGAACTAAGGGGGAAGATACTTAAATGGTAGAAATCAACAGAACAGAAGTTCATTAGGTATAAAGAGAAGTGTACAGAATCAATCAGGTTCTTGACTTGAAAGAACTGAATGTGATCAATTACTGAAAACAAGCTTCTTGGCCAGCACAGTGGCTCATGCCTGTAATCCCAATACTTTGGGAGGCTGAGGCAGGCGGATCACGTGGTCAGGAGATCGCGCCCACCCTGGCTAACACGGTGAAACCTCATCTCTACTAAAAATACAAAAAATTAGCCAGGCGTGGCACCTGTAGTCCCAGCTACTTGGGAGGCTGAGGCAGGAGAATGGCGTGAACCCAGGAGGCGGAGCTTGCAGTGAGCTGAGATCGCACCACTGCACTCCAGCCTGGGGGACAGAGCAAGACTCCATCCAAAAAAAAAAAAGAGGTTTTGAAGTGGCTATGTACATGTAAGTGGGGCCATGAGCAGATAATCATACAGGCCTGATGTACTGAATATAAAACTACCCTTTATTATTAGTCAAGAAACAAACTCACAGAAGCCAAAATAAGATAGGTGAAAGGGTTGCTCAGAATAGTTTTCTTTCATAGTTATTCCAAAGGTGTCCTAAGATAGTCATCACAGCAACCACAAATCTTTCTACTATCACAAACAAAACTGAGCAACTACTAATTTACCTTTTTCTTCTGGGCAACTTCCTCTTCTGGTTTAGGAACAATCTGTTCCTTTTCAGTAAGGATCATCTCAATGTGGCAGGGAGAGCTCATGTATGGGTTAATGCGACCATGAGCTCTGTAGGTTCGTCGGCGCATCTTAGGTGCTTTGTTCACTTGGATATGCTCGATGACCAGAGAATCTACATCTAAACCCTTGGGAAGAAAGGAAGGAGAATGAAACCAGAACATCCTTAATTAGTAAACCACCACAAACTATCTTTGGTAAATATGAATTCCCAGCCGTGTTCCAAAGTCCTGCCTCAATGAAATCATTTCTGAAAGGCAATCCTTTTATTCTTCAAACAGCATGTTTTTAAGCAACTGTCTGCCTTCACCTTTGTGTCTAAATTGTCACCAGACTCAGTGTGCTAAATACATTGTCTATGAGTGGCCTTCCCAAAGATCGTTAGACAGTGGAGAGCTGAGGGGTAAGGTAGAACCCAATTCAAAGTCTTGATGATAAACAGAATTTCTCAGCATGGCTTACAAGGTTTGGAGCAATACAGACCTAAACTAATTTCAGTTCTGGCCCAGACCTTCAAATGCAAAAGGCTAATGGGTAATATACAAAATGGAGAAATTTGTGTTTTGTCAACACAAGTTTATCATTGTTTAAACTTGTTGAAATTTTAAACAATTTCTTTCCGAAATGTAACATGGCTCTTCTTTATGAAGGCAGGTCACAAACCACATTAATCACTGCCAAGGCAATAACTTTGATAATTAACCATACTACCAAAAAGGTGTATGGCACAAAAAGGGTTAAAAGCCCTTGGTAAAGTACCTCCAGTGTAAAAAGACAGCAGAAAAATAGAAATACTAAATGTTAGGCTTAAAGAGACCACAGAGGCACGCTTCTGGATCTTAACAGAATTCTGTCATAAAGGGACTCAAAAAAAAAAAAAGGAAATAATTTAGTTCCATGGAAACTGGAGGTAGAAATTTTAAAATCAAGGACATAGATCTGAACAGCCAACATTAATTAAACCACCCAAGTTGCACAGAATATTAATGGTTTGGGTACCTTAAGTTCAGCATTACTCTCTGCATTTTTAAGCATGTGCAGCAAAAATTCAGCACTCTTCTTGGGCCACCGACCTTGTGTCCAGCCCCACTGCTTGGCCTGAAAGAAAATGGAGATTAGTCATTTTTCTTGATTTAAATTAACATTACAGCCAAGATGAATCTATCTGATCCGACATCATGGCTTCTTAGAACATGGTTTATTACACCATCAATCCAAGGTGTCCTCTGTCATTACAGCAACCAGAAATAGGTTTATCGGCACAGATCTTAGCCATTCTTATCCTATCCCATCACTTTTCCATTAAATTCTGTCTCTTCAAATGGCAACTAAGAATTCTCACCTGGGCACACCTGCCAACTCCACCATTGTAACGTCGGAATGGTACGCACTGTTTCTGTAAAGTGACATCTTTCAGATACTTCGTGGCTTTTCGAATATGCATACCCTTGATGGCCTGGGCAGTTTCACGAGTGTTCTAAGAGTGAAGAATAAAGTGTTGGTTAACTAGATCAAAGCATTGTTTACTTTTTAAAGTAAATGTGAAATTTTTGGCTTTTCAAAATGTCAAGTTATTTCTATTCTTTGGGGGCAAGGCAATTAAAAAAAACTTGTGACTAGGCCAGGCGTGGTGGCTCACACCTGTAATCCCAGCACTTTGGGAGGCTGAGGTGGGTGAAGTCAAGAGTTCAAGACCAGCCTGACCAATATGGTGAAACCCTGTCTCTACTAAAAATACAAAAATTAGCCAGGCGTGGTGGTGCATGCTTGTAATCCTAGCTACTCAGGAGGCTAAGGAAGAATTGCATGAACCCAGGAGACGGAAGATGCAGTGAGCCGAGATCGTACCACTGTACTCCAACCTGGGTAACAAAGCAAGACTCCATCTCAGAAACAAAAAACAAACTAACAAAAAAAGCCCTTGTGACTAAAACCCAGGGAAACTTCGTTGAAGCTAGACAAAACCCCCAAACTCCATTTATTCCATCATCATGTAGTACCATTAACATTTCCCATCGTGGTCTGCACACTAGGTTTTCAAATGACTTTCTGGTACTTCTACTCAATTTCACAAACCCTACATCCTTACACCCCGATGATCAACGCCTAAATATAAGGTGGCCGCTCAGAATTTATTAATTTTCACGGTAAATCCAAAGGTGTCCTAAGAAAGTCATCACCGCAGCTACCTTTTTTGAGTGGAACATGAGGAACTGTTGGATCACAACTATGAATCGCATACCTTAAAGTGAACACGAAGATTGGAACCTCTCGATTTGCATGCTAGAAAATAAAAAAACGTTTTGGTTAATTTTTGGCATCTTATGCCAACCCCCAAGTAGGAAATAGGTATCTATCTCCTGTCCACTTACATTTCGTGGGGTTCTCCGGGTCAAGTGAATAGCGAACCATTTTCACAGATGACCTGGAGGAAAGTACAGTGTAATTGTGTCAATACGTACTTACAGTAACTCGGTATAAGTATTAGACGATTCGAACAGCTGCTCAGAGAGTAGTTGTTTTCATGATTAATCCAAAGGTGTCCTAAGAAATGCCATCATCGCAGCCATCCTTTCCTCCACCCAGGGCTTTCTTCCCTTTTATCTACCAGTAACTACAGCACTGCTTCCACAAAAGTAGCCACACGGACCTCACCAATCCAGTCTACCCTTTGGAAGAAAATACAGCCTGTTGCAATCCAATGCTGGATCTTCCTGGCGTAAAATGACTCGACGCATCCGCATGGCACAACTCAACTACAACCCTCTACCTCCCCTCTCCCGCTCTACAGAAACCCCTTTGCTGTCGGGGCTGCAGGTAGTACCGTCTCTCCCAACACCTTCGGGCTATGACCCACGTTAAGAACCCTCCGGTACGCAGCACTCTTGTAGAAATGTGTAAAGCCTCCACCCGACTTTATTTCCCCCAAAACTTTTCCTCGTTGCGGCCACAAATGTGACGCGTATTCGGCCATCACTCACCACTGGACACTGGATCTCCGGAGTCCGCACGCACCACAGGCGGCTCCACCAGTGAAGGAGCCCGGTCGTCCCATTCCCGCCCATCACGTCCCTCTGCGGACCTCAAAGACCGACCGGCCCCGGATCCCAAAGTTGGGCCCTCCGCCACGTCCCCCCGCATAAGAAACCACCGCCTCCAGCGAGGATTTAGTAGCTCTGGGAGCTCTCCTCCCGGGGACCTGGAGGCCGACGCCCCCGAGGCCAGGATGGCGGCGATGGCAGGAGGATTGAGCCCCGGGAACAACACAAGCGAAACACTCACCTCAGGCCGCTTAGGGAAAGAGGAAGAGCGGTGGCTTCTGGGAGAACTCATGAGAACTTGACTTCTCGCGAGATTCGTAGCTGATGAAACGAGATCCGAGGAGGGAGGAGAGCGGAGGCGGAAGGGAGTGTGGAATATGTTTTTAAAACCTGTGAAAACGAATTGCCTCCTTAGGGACTGTCTCAAAGTTCTCTTTTTTTTATACAGAAATAAAAATTTCAGGCTTTAAATGTCAGTCAATTAAAAACAAGGTTGTAGTTCTAGGACATCTACGTATTATTAGATATGAAAGAAACATTTTATTTATTCGTCGGCATTAGTTAGGTTTGATTATGTGGCCCTGTACCCCTGAAAGTGGTTTGTAAATGGTCAATTAAAAAGATGAAAGGATGAGACGTAATTATGGTAATCAGGAAATTCTCAGGATGGGAATGTCATCCAATCAATTTTGTTATAACCTGTGTGAAAAATGCACTAACTGAAGGGTTTGGTTCAATGTCCTCATTGTTTCCCACTGCTTCTAGATCTTCATCTGGAGGAGAAAACCTGTTGGCATTTTCTTCCCTTTTTTCCTTCCCCAGGTCACCTCTCTGGTTATTCCCTCATAGTCAGTGAAGCACTTAGCTTTTGTTAGGTCTTCTATTTCATGGCACCACCACTCTAGGCAGTTCAAACTCCAGGAGAGTAGATTCCAGGCTAGGCTCACCTGCTTCCTTGACCTCAATGTCAGAGACCTCAGCCCCAAGTCTCTCCCCTCCACTCCACTTCTATTGCTGATGCTGGATTCCCTGATGTTTCCTAGGTAATTCCTTCCCCTCACATGAGCTTTCAACTGCATGCTAACTCCCGGATAATACCCCCGCCCCACATCTTTCTCCTGAGCTAGACCCTGACAGCGAACTACTCCCTGGACATCCTTTCTGGGAGGTCCCTAAAGACCTGAGGTTATTTGAAACCTAACATGCCCTTAAACAGAACTCTTTATCTTCCCCCCATCCCCCAGCCGGGTTCCTCTTTTATGTCGCATGGTGACAAGAGTAACAACAGACAATGATTCTATAAGCTTACTAGATTCCAGGCAGTATTTTCAGTGTTTCTACATGCATTTCCTCAAGTAATGCTTAGGACAACCCTTTGTAAATGATGAAGTTGATCTGGCTGCTACAATGTGTTAAAAAGAAAAAAAAAATGTGTTAAAAAGGAAAAAAAAAAAAAGGGAACTCTCCCACAAACCCAAGGTGCTGCAGCTGGGAGTGGCAGCCCTGGGATCCAAGGCAGGCTTCTGCAACCAAACTCTGCATCCCTAGGTGACCCTGCATTTCTCCCTTCCTTGGTTGGTGACTTCCCCAAACACCTAGGATCTTAAAGCAGAAAGATGAGAGACTCCCCTCTTCTTGTCTTTGCACATACAATTATTTAACAAAATCTGGATTATTCTCTTAAGTGGTCTTCTTGCCCTATTTTTTTCTGCACTTTAATGTATCCTCCATATTCCTGACAGTCATTTTTCTTTTCTTTTCTTTTTTTTTTTTTTTTTTTGAGACAAGGTCTCACTCTGTGGCCCCAGGCTGGAGGGCAGTGGTGTGATTTAAGCTCACTGCAACCTCCGCCTCCAGGTTCAAGCGATTCTCATGCCTCAGCCTCCCAAGCAGCTGGGATTACAGGCACCCACCATGACGCCCAGCTAATTTTTGTATTTTTAGCAGAGATGGGATTTTGTCATGTTGGCCAGGCTGGTCTTGAACTCCTGACCTCATGTGATCCGCCCACCTGAGCCTCCCAAAGTGCTGGGATTACAGACGTGAGCCACCACACCTGGCCCTGACAGAGTCATTTTTCTAAAATGACTGTCAGAATGATCATGTCATTTTTTGGGGTTCCTTTTTTTTTTCCTGTGGCCCCTGTTCCAAATATTTGGGGATGATATAAGAGCCTTCCGTGATCTGGCCTTTGCCTTCCTCATCTTTTATCCCTTCTTTCTCCTTCCCATATGGACTCCAACCCTATTTTCTCTGATTTCAGGGAGAAATCAAGCCTATAATTAAAAATAGTCACACCACATTTGATTCTGTCAGCCAGCATTGGATTAGATTAGAAGACATTTAAGCCTTGTGAGATCATTTCCTTTTGAGTGAATAGTTTGTCTTTTGAACCTTCAGTGATTTTCCTATAAAACTTTAATGAACTTTTTGTTTTAGATGGAATCTCTCTCTGTTGCCCAGGCTAGAGTGTGGTGGTTCATTCATAGCGCACTGCAGCCTCTTTTTTTTTTCTTCTTCTTCTTGGTGTGTTACCTTTATTACATTCCTAGACTAATTTAAAATTATATTCCTGAGACTAGTTTAAAAAACAGCCTGCAACAAGAATATTCTCATCACCGGCTACCTTTTCCACCTTTCTTCTTTTTCTGTTGCTGTTTCTTTTTTGTTGCTGGAGCCCCTGCAGGTTTCTGTGTCTTGGGAGTATGATGTTACTTGTAGAGGCAGATAGTGTCGCTGCACTGCCAGGTCTTGGGGAGGTGGGTGGGCTGCTCACAGTTTTTCTGGCATCCAGTTCTGATGAAGTTCCTGCAGTTGCTCCCTGGGTCCCCTTTCCAATCTGATCCTTACTTTTACCCTTCTTTCTTCCCTCGTAATAAGAATGTTCTTGCATTGGTAGCCATCTTTCTGGATCTGGGGTAACTTTTGCATCATAATTCTTAGGCAATTTTCCCGTCTTTTTCTCTTTTTCAAATTTCCCCACCCTTGCCCCTTTCGTTGACCATCTCCAGTAACTTTTCCACCCTTCTTCCAAATGTATGTAGCACCAGGAGAATTTTCAAGAGCCTTGACCTCTACTTTTAGAGACATGCTTTCTGATAATGACAAGTGTTCACAAAGAGCTCTGTCTTTCTCTGGATCTACAAGTGAGTAAGCAGAAATAAGCTGTGCCAGGGTGTAAAAATCTTTTGGATTTTGTTTCTATTGCTATTCTAGGTCACTAATTGCCTCCTTCTTCTGTTTATATTTGAGTTTGAAGTTTGCAGCTTCTTTTATCAAGGACAAATGAGCAGGAGATTTGGGCCAATGGTTTTGACACCACTGAATAGTTTGTGTGAAGACCTCAATGGCAATATCAATCTCTTCTTCATTGTGATACATGATCACGAATACAGACACCACGCCTGGTTTCTGCTCTAACTCCTTTATGCTTCTCAATATTACACAAGCTTAGAAATATTACCTTGAGAAATTTTCAGCTGTGCCATGATCAGCTTCATTTCAGCTGCATTTCTGGATGTTGATCTGAAAATTCCTGAAGCAGCTCTATTGTTTTTGTGTGCTGCTTTCCAGGCAAACCTGGGCAGCTTGGATTAACACAGGTGGGAGATGCTCGGGACTTTGGGACTATAAACTGGTGGATATTTTGTGACATTAATTGGCCTGGTTTGTGTACATAGCAAGTAAAGCATTGTTAAATTCTATAGCTTGTAGTTGTTTCTTGGAAAGCTCAAACTCCACTCTTTCTGCATTGATTAATTTCACCTTCTTCTTGGAGTCAAAGATGTTTTGGTCCGTGTTAATGGTAATGATGTTATTTGCAATTACAGCTAGTAATCCCACATCTGTTGGTTTCAGTTTTATTATTTGACTATAAAGTTGCAAAGCCTCCTCTGTTCGACCCCGAAGCTGCAGAATATAGGCCATCTGACAATGAATGATGGCCAGTCCTGCCTGTGGGTCTTCCTCAGTCCCATCAGAGTCTTCTGATAATGAACAGCGGCAAAGATCTTCAGCTTTTTGTAGGATTTTCATGGCCTGGTTCAGCTGGCCTTGTCCAATCAGCGCACGTGCAGTGTTGTAGCACAGCTCATGTGTGCCTTCTTGGAGGCCCAAGTTCTCTGGAACTTTTCCCCAATTGCTTTGGGGAGTAACAACTGCTGAAAGGTTTGTTTTCCTTTTCCTCATAACAATCATCTTGGGAGTTTCAGGTGAGATCTCTGTATACTGCTAAGCATTCATCATAGCATTCCAAACAGCATAACGCTTGTCCATAAAACTCCTTCAGTTTATCTGTCTGCTTGTTGACACTTTCTGTAGTCTTCAAGGCTTTCTTAATTCTGTTCAGCTTGTAGTTGCAGTATGTCTTTTCTTTTTTTTTTGAGATGGAGTCTCACTGTGTTGCCCAGCTGGAGTGCAATGGCACGATCTCAGCTCACTACAACCTCCGCCTCCTGGGTTCAAATGAAATTCTACTGCCTCAGCCTCCAGAGTAGCTGGGATTACAGGTGCTCACCACTACGCCCAGCTATTTTTTGTATTTTTAGTAGAGATGGGATTTTGCCATGTTGGCCAGGCTGGTCTTGAACTCCTGACCTTGTAATCCGCCTGCCTCGGCCTCCCAAAGTACTGGGATTACAAATCACCTGTAATCCCAGCACGGCCCATTGTTTAATGACATTTTGTTCTTTCTTTTCTTTCCTGTAGTTTCCTGACTAGCTGCCTTACCCATTATTCTCATGTTCCTGGAATTTGTGATACAAAAACAACATATTGCCAATCAATAGCTTTTGTTTTGTTTGTTTTGAGGTGGAGTCTCACTCTGTCGCCCAGGCTGGACACACACACACACACACACACAAAGTGGTGCGATCTCTGCTCACTGCAACCTCCACCTCCCGGGTTCAAGCCATTCTCCTGCCTCAGCCTCCCAAGTTCCTGAAACTACAGGCATATGCCACCACGCCCAGCTAATTTTTTGCATTTTTAGTAGAGATGGGGTTTCACTGTGTTAGCCAGGATGGTCTCGATATCCTGGCCTCGTGATCTGCATGCTTCGGCCTCCCGAAGTGCTGGGATTACAGGCATGAGCCACCGTACCTGGCTAGCTTGTGTTATTTTACTGTAAATTCTTGGTAAACAATTTAGAAACTGCCTCTTCTTTTTTCCTTTAAAAATCCACTTGTAATTGCTGCTAACCAGAGCATATATTCAAGGCAATTTGAATTTATGCTTCCAGGTTGCAATCCTCAAACTTGGCCCAAATAAACTACTTATATTATTTTTGACTCTCCTTTTGCCTTGTGTGTACATAATGTCATCTGATTGTCTCAGTTTTACTGAT